AGGGGTTCTCCCAGGCCTAAGAAGTTTTATAATGCAGACTTGTCATTTTAAAAAAATAATCTTTCAACGTTAGTATCCTTTTTGTGTCTCCAAAAACAAGTAAACCCCAAACATGCTGTTCAATGTCTGGTGTAGTAGATCCATATAGGAAGTTGTACATCCCAACTGTATTGAAATATATTTAATATATTTAATGTATTTATAGGCCTGTCACAAATCTATTCTAGAAAATGCATTTGACATTTAAGTAGAGAAAATAATAAATACGTTAATGAAAAAAGCAGTAGTAGCTATAATTTATTTATAATATGCCTATAGCGAAGCACATTACAAATATAAGAACACTCGTAGTCCTTGCCTTCCGAAGATAAAGTAAAAAAATAATAATATCATCAATACGTTAAATGCCACTATAAGTATCAATCTCAGAAATGGAAGTGACATACAATATGGTAGTCCTTTTTAAAAAAATACCCAAAATATTGTATGGAATTGGTTTAAAAACATGAATAAAATGTAAACTTACATTCCCTGCCAAAATAACTCAAGGAAGGGTTATTTCCCCCAGAATGAATTATAGGTATTATTTGATTTTAATTATATGATTATGAAATGGGTATCTATACAAATATGATTAATAAAAAACAAATAAGTAAATTGTCATAAATCCCTGTGTAAAAGTGCATTGCAAGCTAACCCTCTGACAATTATATTTACCTGAATTATGATCAGTGTGTGTAAGATATTGTATATTCTCTTGCTATTGAATCTGCTTTGTTGTGTTTAAGCCCTGAGTCCGCTGAATAGTCTAGAAATCAAACAATATTGTGTTCATAGAGCTACTTTGACATCAGCTTCTGCTATTAATTTTCAAAATTGTTCCAGGGTTCATTGATGTAACCATATTGTCTACAGTCTGACTCTACCAACCTCAGGGCAACTGGTAGAATCAATTGTACAAATACTGTACGGCAAGCTACTTTAAGTGAGTGTTAGGATTACTAATGGGTTTGAATAGAAAATCCTGACAGTTGAAAAGCCAAGTCCATTACCTATTATTACTTCTAGATCTCTTGTTTTAATTACCAGTGGGGAGGATTTGAAAAACTATTGGCCATCATG